TTTATTTATTTGTATTTTAGGGAAGGGTCTACAGGGTGTTCAGGGTCTCACTACTAGATAGGACTCGTAGTGATCTGCCTGTTTACAGCCTCCCAAGGGTTGGGATTATAGGCAGGGTGCCACCACGCCCAGTCTCAATTGCCCCCTCAGAGCGCCCCCCCACCCCCCCCTTGGGGCCAGCACAGCAGGCGGGGATTGAACCTGCGGTCCCTGCACCTGCTTGCAGGCACTTTAATCCACTGAGCTATTTGGCCGGTGCATGACTTGTGGTTTCCTACAGGCTGCACTCTCAAAAACTGACTTAAAAAAAAAAAAAAAAAACTAACTTGCCCTGGGGGAATGACATTGTGGGGAGGCTTCAGAATTTCGTTTTGGTCCCTATTTTGAAAGGAGTAGAAAGATGTTCGCCAGGAAAGATTGCCTATCCTGGGTGGATTGGGTAAAAGTGACACAGTTGGGGCCACCAACTGAGCCAAGAAGAAGGGAAATTTAGAATTGAGATGAAATGTCCATTTGAAAGGAGGGTGCCCTCCCCACTTGCTTGCTTGGCTCTGCCTGCCAACAAACAGGCCACCATCTGCACTGACAAAAAAGGGAGGCAAGGGGCCGGTGAGATAGCTCAGTGGACTAAAGCACCTGCTTAGGCAAGCTTAGGCAAGCATAGCCACCAACCAGTGTTAGATCCCCAATACCACATGCTTTGCCAGCCCGGCCCCTAGGGCAGGCTGATCCGGCCAGACAGAATCCAACTGCCTATAATCCTAGCACTGGGAAGGCTGAAAACAGGAGGATCACTATGAGTCCAAGCTGCGGAGTGAGACCCTGTAACAAAGTGAGGGGAGGGCAAACTAATTAGGAGCCCTGAATTTGATTTTTTTTAATTTTTTTTTAATTTTTAAATTTTATTTGTGTGTGGTCAGCTCAGCCCACCAGGGGGCGGGGCTGGCTGGCATGTGGTGCTGGGGGATTGAACCGCGGTCCACTAAGCTTGTTCTAAGTAGGTGCTTTAGACCACTGAGCCATCTCACCAGCCCTGATTTTTTTTTTTTTTTCAAGGCAGGAATGGGATTTCATTTTGTTCCCCTAGGCTAGTCTAATTTCTGGACTCATGAAATAATCCTGCTTCAATGTTCTGAGTGGCTAGAGCTACAGGTGCTCAACGTCACACCTGGGTAGGCTTGAGTTTGAGATCTGAAAAAGTGGGTTCACTAAATGACTGTTCCGCAGAGTGCTCTCTGACTTTGGTAAATCCCTTCAGGTCTCTGGGCCAGTTCCTTCACATTAACATGGGGTAATCAATTACCTTTGTCCTGCCCACTACCCAAATGGACTTTTGTGAGGCTCTGAGTATTCTGCAGCATGGAAAGGGATCTGAGATTGTGCATGAATTTTTCAGTGTTTCCCTATCCTTCTCAGTCTCTCTACTGTCAAACATTTCTTTCCAGCTCTGACACCCTCCTGGGCCTGTGGCAGTCTCTACTCCTCTTTCTCCCTCCAGCTCCCCACCACCCATTCTACCACAGACCACAGCCCTGGGCTGTGCCCCTTCCTCTACCCTCACTTTCCCTGCCCTGGCAAAAGCCAGTGTCCAGACCTCAGACCCAAAGATCTTGCCTAGGAGCACAGGCCAGCAGGTTTCTTAAATGCTTTACAGTAGCTTTAAGATCTGTTCCCAGCACAACAACCTTGTGAGCCTTTCAAATAAACCCAGCTCTTGTTTGGCACCCTTTGGTAGTTCCTCATTAACAGCATAAAAGCTCAGATCTTTACTTAGTGGTTCATACACACACCCAGCTCACCTTTTTCCCCCATAGTACCTGTCACCTAATAATATCTAGATTATTTAATTTAATTAATTAATTAATTTATCTTGGTTGAATGGGAGATTGAACTCAGGCCCTTGTGCTTGCCAGGGAAGTGCTTATTCTACTGAGCCATCTCCCTGGCCCTCAGATTTTTTATTTTGTAGTACTGGGCTAAGGCCAGGGTTTTCATGCTGAACTATATCCTCAGTCCTTTTCTGTATTTTTTATTTTGGGACAGGGTCTTGCTAAATTGACCTGGCTAAGTTTGAACTCATGTTCCTCTTTTTTTTTATTTGGCGGAACCAGGGATTGAACTCAGGCCCTTGCGCTTGCCAGGCAAGCACTTATTCTCCTGAGCCATCTCCTTGGCCCTTCATGTGCCTCTTAACTCAGTTTCGAAGAATGCTGGGATTATGGAAGTGTACCATAACACCCAGTTCTATATGCTTTTAAAAACAAAAACCCTACAGTTTATTTTTCCACTAGAATATAAGCTCCAAAAGTAAAGCGATATGTTTTCTTCACTGCTGTGTCCATAGTACCCAGACTGGCATATAGATGCCTCATATTTGCTTCTTTCCTGCCCCTATAATATTTGAATTGAATGAATGAAGAAAAGAAGGAAGATGTGGTCTTTGCGTAGCATGTCTCTGGAATGGTCTCCAAGAAGTTGGTAATCATATCTCTGAAGAAGAGAGCTTAGGGTTTGGGAGGTAGACGCAGGAAATTTCATTTTTATTTTCTTGCAATACTAGTGGGATTGAGCCTAGGTACATTCTACTATTTTAATTTTATTTATTTATGTATGTATTTGGTATGGGATCTCACTATGGCTCAGCATGTGGTACCAGGGATTGAACCCAGGTCCTTGTTCTTTCCAGGCAGGCACTTAGACCACTGAACTATCTCCCCTGCTGGTACATTCTACTATTGAGCTACATTTCTGGCCTTTTTAATTTTTTTTTTTTTTAATGTTTTATGTATTTAGTGCAGGGCCTAAAGGGTCTCACTACACAGATCAGACTCGTAGTATCCTCCTGTTTTCAGCCTCCCAAAGCACTGGGATTACAGCTACCATGCCCAGTCTCAGTTGTGTCTCATTGCAGCCAGCACAGCTTGTGGTGCTGGGGATTGAACCCTAGTCCCTGCGCCTGCCTACGCAGGTGCTTTAGTCCTCTGAGCTATCTGGCCAGCCTGCCTGGCCTTTTTATACTCAATGGCCACACTCTGCCTGTTGCCCAGGCAGGCCTTGGGCTTGTGATCTTTTTTCCTCAGCCTCCCTAGTAGCTGGAGTAACTGGGATTCTAGGCAGGTATTATAGAACCCAGCTGAAAACATATTTTATTATTATTTATTTGTTACTATTACTTTTTTAAAAAATATTTTTTTTTGCTGAACCAGGGATTGAACTCAGGCCTTTGGACTTGCCAGGCAAATGCTTATTCTACTGAGCTATTTACCCGGCCCCTATTACTTATTTTAGATATATTGTATATTACTTTTACAAAAAGAAGTCAATGCCAGGTGTGCTGGCACATGTCTGTAATGCCAGCATTCTGGGACACTCATGTAGTTCAAGCCTAGTCTGAGCAACAGTCTCAAAAAATAAAGGGTCGCTGATGTAGCCAGCAGCACAGTAACTGCCCGGCATGCTCAAGGCCTACAGTCTAATTCCTAGTGCAGAACAAAACAAACAAGTGGGCCTGGCAAGCACAAGGTCCTGAGTTGTCCCATTCCAGGTGCCATCAAAACAAAACAAACAAGGGGGGGGGGATAAACAAACTAGAATTTCAAACTAGAAAAAGGGTGGGGGCGGGGGCTGGAGCGGCAGCTGGCAGGATAGCTCAGTTGTCTAAAGCGCCTGCTTGGGCAAACTCAGTCAGGTGCAGGGTGCAGGGTTCAATGCCCAAATCCACATGCCACACCAGACCCGCCTTAAGGTAGGCCTAGCCAGCCAAAAAAAAAGGGAGCCAGGTATCCTGGTTTATACCTGTAATCCCAGCATTGGGGAGGCTGGGCAGGAAGATCACTGTGAGTTTAAGGCTAACCTGGGCCACATTGTGAGTTCAAGGGTAGTCTGAATTACAGAGCAAGACTTGATCTACAAAAACAAAACATATAAGAGCTGTGAGTGTATCTCAATGAGAAAGCTCCTAGGGTTAATCAGTAGTCCCAGAAAAAAAGAAAAGACAAATCCCAGAGGAAAAGCAGTTAACTGAGAAGGAGGGACTGGTCCCAGGGAGAGAGAAAGAGAGAGGCCCCTATTTGCCCTCGCCTGGCCCCAGTGCTGAGAAAGGGAGATGGGCAATGGCTGGGCCTCCGGTGGAGCCAGGGAATGCTGAGGGTGACCAGAGGAAGAGGCTGCACAAACCCGTGGCTGACTTGGAGGTTATGGGGGCTGTGTTTGGGCATAACAGGAAGCATGAGCAAGGTGACACACATGCCTGTGGCCCTACCCTTGGGAATGACTCAGGGAAAGCCTGGCTTGGTGACTGCCAAGGAGAAGCAAAGGGTCAGGCTGCGTGTGTCCTGACAGCGACACTGTGATCAGCCCCAGAAGCCTATGTGGCCCTGTAGGTGCTGTTTCCTTCATTTATGTCTGAGCTGGGAGCTCTTCCAGCTCACAGGCCTACTTCCTCCATGAGCTGGGGCGAGCTGTGCTTCTTCAAGCTCCTCAGAGGCAGCAAGCTGCTTCGGCCAGGTCTCCTATTTGGTAAAGGACTGAGTCCTCATATTCTGGGCCTCCCAGAACAACACACCCAGACTGAGCCCCTCCTTCATACACAGGTTGGGAGGAACTTGGCCTTTCTGCTCCCCACCCAGGCCCAGCACATTATGAAATCTGGTCTTCAGTGTCACTTCTATCCCAGACAACTTCTCTCTCCTCTGCTCTTTTTCTTATCCCCACTTAGGCATTTGGAACTTTGTGGCCTCAAGGCCTATTTATTTTATGTATAGTCTAGTGATTCTCATCTAGAGATCTTAGGGGCAGTCCATTCCTGAAACTAAGTGGTGTAAGACCAACCATCTGGGCTGGTGGGCTTGCAGTACCAGCCTGGAGGACAGCCAAGGCCTGCCACAGTCTTGCTGGGGTCCTGGCTAGCGGGGTCCACCAGAGGAGGGGTTTGGGAAGGGACACTCAGAACTTAGGCAGGTCTCATAGATGGGGCAACGCAAAGCTGGATCCACACGTCACTCTTCACTTGCTCATGGCCCATCCTTAGTTGCACAGCTGGTCCTGGAGTCTTGATGGGACTACAGAACAGAATGGGGAACTGAGAGGCAGGTTCTGCCACACGATCTGCAGCCATGCCTCCTGTCTATTTACCCTACTTCCCACCTGAGTGATGCCAGCCATGGTGCCAGAGGGAAGAGGCAGCTGCAGTTCCTCCTGTCATTAATCCAGCAGCTCCTTGATACACCAACAGCAGAGGAGGACGTAGGCAACTTCCTTCAGGGTGCGCTGCAGGCCCTCCCACCCTGTGCCCATTTTAATGACAGGCACCCGGAGCCCGGCATCTCGCAGGACTCCTCCAAGAGAGAAGGGTAGAGCCTGGGCTAGAGGCTGGGTCCGAGGCTGCATGTGGGTGGCAGTTCCGGGCAAGGGTGTGGGAATTGTCTTTGCTGCCTTTTATCAACAGTTCCCCTCCCCCTCAGGCCTCATGACTAGAGACAAAGGCACCAGGGTCTAGCAAAGGAAGGTTCTGGGCCTGGGAACAGGCTGAGTCAGCCCCTGTGGACAGGGATGGGGGTGGCAGCGGAAGGCCTGGGCACTCCATCTTTCATTGGCCTCCATATCCGGCAGCCAGCTTAGCCTCTCTTCTTCCACCCTGATGGCACCCTGCCTGGTTACTCCCTTCTCAGTGGTTGGTATGAGTCCCTCTCCCACTGTCTGGTGGGCTCTGGCTTAGGCTGATGTGGCAAATCACTCACGTGAAACGCTTTCCAGCTGCTTATATATCCTCCCACTCCCCCTCCACCCCAGGCCCCAAGTGGGCACAGCCAGAGTCTGGACTGGCCCACTTCTGTCTCCCTAAGCAGGGAAAGCACAGCCAGGGCAACAGGGCAACAGAGAAAAGCTTAGTTTATTGACAGGCTGCACCCAGGGCAGCCCACAGGAGGGTTGTCACATGCGGGAGTTGCGTTCTTCCTCTTCATTCTCTAGTAGGTATGCTGGGCGGTAGGTGAGGTGCCCTCCTGGGCTCAGGCACTGCAGGGCTGGGTTCTGCACTGTGTTCTCCCGACTCCCCAGTGACGTGTACCTAGCACAGTGAAATGAAAAGCTTGTATATGCTGGGTGGACCTCCCTATCCCAGCACTCCACTGTCCTTCCCACACCAGGCCTCCTGGCCTCATTACCTACCCTTGGTCATACAGGATACAGTATGGGACAAAGAGCTGACGCAGAAAGTCCCAGATGTTTCTGTAGGTCCAGTCCTGCGAGGTCAGAGGCAGAAGAGTCACAACACAAGTGTTCCCCTCCTACTCCTCCCCTTGCCATCTCAGGAAGGGGCCCATCGGAGACTCTTCTGTTCCCTGGGCCCCAGAGGGAGGCTTGCTATCTGGTTCTCAGGGATATCTTGCTCTGTGCAGGCTACGCAGTCAGTCTTCAGCCTCCACCTCTCCACTCCCAGGCCACACTCTACTGGGGTATAATAAGCTCCAGTACGGGAAGGGCTGTGTGGAAGCCAGGCTGTTAGGTAGAACTGTCTCCCATAATGGAAATGTTCTATATTTGTGTGATTTACTATGGTGGTGGGGATTGAGATGTGACTAGTACAACTGCAGTGGTTTGTTTAGCACTGGGGATTTAATCTAGGTCCTTTGTGAAGCTGTACCTCTAGCCTTGCACCCCCCCCCCACCTTTTTGAGACAGAGTCCTGCTAAATTGCTCAGGTTGGGTTAAAACTTGAAATCTTCCTGCCTCCGCTTCCCAGAGTACTAGAATTACAGGGGTGTGTTGCGATGTCCAGCTGCCCAGCCCTTTAAGTTTTATTTTTTACTGCACAATGTTATGTGGCCATTACTGACATGGTGGCATGTGCCTATAATCTCAGAATTTAGGAGGTTGAGGCAGGAAGTTCACCCGTTTAAGGCCAGTCTAAACTATATAGTGATGTAGAGCCAGGGAGATAGCTCAGTAGAATAAATGCTTGCCTGGCAAGCTCAAGGGCCTAAGATCAATCCCTGGTTCTGCAAATAAAAAATAAACAATAAACTATATAGTGAGGGCCAGCCAAATAGCTCAGCAGACTAAAGCTCCTGCTTAGGCAGAGTGCAGGGGGTAGGGGCTGGGGGTGGGGGTGGCTCTTGATCCCTGGTGTGCTGTGCCAGCCCCGCCCCCTGGGGCATACTGAGACAGTGATTGAGACTGGGCGTGGTGGTGCACGCCTGTGATCTCAGCGCTTGGGAGGCTAAAAACAAAGATCACTAGTCCAATCTATGTAGTGTGACCCTGTAGGCCCTGTACTAAATACATAAAAATAAATAAATGAATAAATATATAGTGAGACCCTATCTTTTTTTATTGTTACATAGGGTTTAGCTAACTGAATTGCTAAACTGCCCTGGCCAGGCATGGTGGCACATGACTGTAATTCTAGCACTTGGGAGGCTGAGGGAGGACTGGCATAAGTTTAAGGCCAGTCTGAACTACACAGTGGGCCTGTTTTTGTTATTTTTAAATTTTTTTTTTTTTTAATGTATTTGGTACAGGGTCTAGAGGGTCTACAGGGTCCTACTACCTAGATCAGACTCATAGTGATTCTCATTTTCAGCCACCCAAGCACTGGGATTACAGGTGTGTACCACACCCAGTGTCAATCACCAGTCTCAGGGTGCCCCAGGGGTGGGGTGGGGCCTGCACAGGGTGCCTGGGATCAAACCCTCCCTGCTGCGTCTGCCTAAGCAGGAGCTTTAATCTACTGAGCTATTTGGCGAGCCCCATTTTTTGTTTTTTCAAAGCAACTGCTAAATTTTCCAGGCTGGGCTCAAAGGGAATTCTCTTCCTAGCCACCCAGAATGCTGGTGTGCACCATACCTGGCCCTGAATTCTTTTTTTTTTTAGAACTGGGGATTGAACTTGGGCCCTTGCCAGGCAAGCACTTATTCTACTGAACAATCTCCTTGGCCCCCCTTTTTGGTCTTTTTGAGACAAGGTCTCACTATGTACTTCAGGCTGGCCTTGAACTCACAGTACGCCTCTTGCCTTAGCCTCCCAAGTGATAGGATTACAGGCATGTGTCACACACTGGCCCTTCTGAATTCTTAGCTGTATTTAGAAAGTGACATAACTCACAAGCCATAAACTTCATCCATTAAAAATATACTGAAATTCAGTGGCACTTAGTAGTTCCTATTTCATTTAAGTATGAATCAATGCCAGTGGCCATGATACTGGACAGTAAAGGTCCTAGTCATTATCTTGGCCACAGTAGAAAGCACGATGCTTGCCACTAAGTTGGTGCTCACTCAGTGTTGGGGATGGGATGAGTCAGCAGATGGCACCTCCTCCCCCATGTGATGGGCCCCTGCCAGGCCGCAGGCTCTGGCTTTCTTCTCTGGGAGCCAGGCTATACTAGCTGCCAGAGCACCAGCGCTGAAGGTGATGAGTCCTTGTCCCATTACCAGCAGTGGGTTGATGCGCATGAAGGCAGGCCAGCCGGGGTCAGTGGGACTGAAGGAGCAGAGGCTACGGGAGTAGGGGTCAGTCCTGCGGGTGCCCATCAAGACAGCCTGCAGCTGGGGGTGCTGTCTCTGCAGCTCGCCCAGGGCCTGCTTCATGCCCCCCTCGGCTTCCAGCACCTGAAGATTGTACCTTAGGAAAGAAGAGTGGTATGTATGGGTCACAGCAAGGTCTGTCAAGTCCCTGTTGGGGCTCCAACCTCCAGTCCCTCATACCTTTTGATAGTATCCTGTAGAAACTGCTCCAGCTCAGGGAATGGGGAGATACTGCGGATATACAGGATCTGGAGAGGTTTTGGAACATCAGGACATTTCCTGGGGAGGGAGAGGAATCCATAGGCTTGCCAGCATGGGTAGAGGAATGGCTCCCCTCAGAGCTCACTATTTGGCCCCTGGGCTGACATCCTCTTCTCTCTTTCCTTTGCTTTTTAGTCCAGCCAACTCCCTTTCATGGGCAGCTCACTCTGGTCTCTCAGCTCTGAAACCTGAGCTTGCCTGTTTCCAGTGTGGGATTTCTGATAAATCTCACTTCTCTCACTAGGACAATGACGTGTCTTTGGCCAGGGATGATGGCAGGCACATCTCTAAGGCGGCCAGACACATGTTGGATGTCAGTAAAAATGGTAGGGAATGGAACTTCAAAGTCACTGTGGCTATTTTCCTCCCCTGGCCCATCCAAGGACCACCCCCTTCTACTGGCTTGCTGGGACAGAGGATGGCGGAACAGAACAGGTGAGGGGTCTCTGGGGACCCACCTCCCGGGATGGGCTCACCTCTGCACAGCAGCATGGTAGAGGTGCAGGAGGGCGGTGCAGTCCTTGCCCCCGTTGAAGCCCAGGCAGAGCTGGGAGAGGTGGTACTGGGCCAGGGCAGCCTCAATGATCTGGAGGGCACTTGCTACCTTTTTCCCCAGAGAAGACCCTGCCACATTGGCAGGGAAAGGCATCAGGTAGGTGCACAGAGCTGTCACACGGGTCGTGCTGCCCTGGATGAAAACCTTCCAATCATCCCTGTGTCCTGTGGCTTACATCCAAGCTCCTCTATGAAGCCCACTGTGCCCTGCAATCTGTCCCCAGCCTGCCACTCAGCTACCCGTCACTCTACCTTGGGCTTAGTGATTTCCTCCTGGGCCAGGGCTAAGGGGGGCCCTGGTTTCCTTCCATTCTCTTAAACCCCATGCTGTTCCTTTCCAGGCCTTCTTCATACTCTTGCCCACCTCCTGGTCCAGGTAAGTCATCCTTATGACTTGGCTTTTGTCACTGAGCCCTCAGAAAAACCTTCTTGGACCCCATATCAAGACTGACTTCCTGGGGCGGGGGGACCTGAGTTCAATCCCTGGTTCCACAAAAAAAAAAAAAAAAGACTGACTTCCTGCTGTGGAGTCCTTTTCATCATTCATGGCGTCTTTTGTTTTCATGAGACAAGGTCTCCCTATGTAGCCCAGGCTGGCCTTGAACTCATGGGTGATCTTCCTGCCTCAGCCTCCCAAGTGCTGGGACTACTACAGGTGTAGACAACCACGCCTAACCCATTATTCACAATTCACATCTTATGCATAACCACCTTTGAAACCACTGGTTAAAAGGAGCAGGGTATATATTTATCCTGTTAAGCTTCTTCCCAGCTCCTAGCACAGGGCTGATTTGAAAAAAAAAAAAAAAAAAGGTA